CGCTTGTTGGTGTTTTTGGGGGACGTGTTGGGGGGTTTTTGGCGGTCTTGGGGGGCTCTTGGGCGTCTTGGGCACTTCGGGGGGGCCTTTTGGAGCGTCTGGGAAGCATCTTGGGTACTTCGGGGATCATTTTGAAGCTTTGTGGGGGCCTCTTAAAAGTGTTTTGGGCGAGGCCGCTTTGGACGTTCCAATGCGTCGCGGCCTCTTCGTCTAGGTCTAGGGGAGGGGGGAGGGGGAGGGGTCAACTGACCCGCTCGCCCGCAAGCCGTCGCTCTTACTCCCAGCCGCCCTCCCGACACACAAGTAACACCCGAGCCTGAGCATGTTCAGCGGTCGTATTTAAACGAGCAGCTATTGGGAACCAAAGCCGACCCCAGGTGCGCGACGCTTGGGCGAGGTGCGCGACGCGTGCCAGGGGCGCCACGCGCGCCAGGCACCTCTGGGGCCCGAGCGTGCCAGGCACGCTTGGTGCGCCAGATGCGCCACGTGCTCCGATCCGAATGCGCCAGGCGTGCCACACACACACACACACACACATTCCAGCCGCGCCAGGTGCGCCGCGTTCGGGCACGTGCAGAGTGCGTCAGGTACGCCCGCGCACGTGACAGCACACATCGGGAAACATCCCGGCCCCCGCCATATTTGTCGAAAGCCAATGCCCATGATTGTGTTTGGTGGGCCTGCGCACAGCAGGCCACGCGCCACCACCCCCGCCGTCCCTGTCAAAAACCACTTGGCAGTGATCGCGGGATGGCCACGCATGATCCAGATTTAACCGCGAGGTGCATGTTGTAGTGTTTTTGTTGTCAGGGATGGCAGCCCTGCGCGCAGCAGGGAATTTGCTGACACCGCCGCCCCGCCGTCCTAGTCAAAAAAATACACATGGCTCGCGGGCCTCGCGAACATGACTCAAAATGTTGCCCCAAAGTGTACCTTGCACTGTTTTTTGACAGGGAGGGGGGGCGCATCGGGTGGATCGCGCATGTTCCATCCAGATGTGGAGGTAGCGTGCGGTTTGTATGTTTGCGTGAAAGGGATGGTGAGAGACAGGCCGGCACGGTGTCGGCATGGTGTCGGGTTGGCCCCCAGTCGCTCGGGGGAGGGGGCTTATATTGATAAGGAACAGTGATAAACCCTTTCCCCGAAGTGCAAGAAAGAGGGTTGGAAGAGGAAGCCGCCCTAGACCACCTACGCCCAGAGGGCTGGTGGGATGTATGCACGAATCGCGCCATCGCGTGGGACTTCCTCGCATGTATTCAGACGCCGCGCCTTCGACACTCAGGAATCACGCTGCCGTTGTTGATTTTTCCGCACGATTCATTTGGGAATCGCGCTATCGTTCGAGACGTCTTCGCGATTCATGCAGGACGCGCGCTTCAGCAACCCGCCTGCTCGACCTGGCCGCCTGGGCCCGCCTTCCTGACCCCCCTGATCTGCCCGTTCGGTTCTGCCACGTGTTTTCTGGTCCTAGACCCCCTCCTGCTAGTCGTCTCTCACGTTCAGTCCTCGTCCCTTCCCTTGTCCCTTCCTTCCATCGAGGGCGGGTATCGAGGGCTTGGGATACACGTATTGAATGGCACGCGAGCACACAGGAGCGAACATTCGTCATGTGAGTGTTGTTGATGTTGCTATTGTTGTTGGTATTGTTGGTGTTGTTGTTGCTGCTGTTGTTGAGAATAGTGTTGTGTTTGTTGTTGTTGTTGTTGTTGTTGTTGTTGTTAGTCGTGGTGGTGTTCTTCTTGTCAGGGATGTTGTTATTGTTGTTAGTGCTGTTTGCTTTGTTGTTGTTTGGGGGGCGGTTTCGGCGCAACCCAGAAACGCCCGAGCACGAGCCTAATTTTGAAAGGAAATGCAGCCGGCGCCAAGGCGAGAGCGCCAGTGCGGATGTAGGGTGTCCCACAGAAGTAATGATTGAGTAGTTGAGGCTCATAGATTTAGGAAAGCTTCAAGGTCTCTGGGAGTCTGGGATGACAGCGTCGAGAATATTGAACGGGAGCGTCGTTGTTTGCAGGGGGGTCGCTTGCGGCGCCGATGCGGGAGCGGCGGTTTTGATTAAAAACAAGGAGGTATCGGAACGCCGGTCTTGTGGGAAAGTTGGCCTTCGGCGGCGAGCAAGAGCCTTGGTCCCGAGTAGAAAATGAGGAGGTATCGAGCGGGAGCGTTGTTGCTGTTGGTGCTGTTGGGTGGCCAGTTTCGGCGCACCCCAGAAACGCCTAAGCGCGAGCCTAATTTTTGTCAAACTTCATGCAGCCAGCGCCAAGGCGCCTCTAGGGGGCCCAACTGCATTATTATTTCGCAACTAAGGTTCAACATCAACAACAACAATCATTTTAAGACTGTTCGCTACTTCCTGCTCGCGTGCCACTCAACACGTATACACAAACCCTCGATACCCGCCCTCTTCGTCTTCGATAGTACCTATTTAGGGGTGTATTTTTCTTACCTGCAACGTGTATTTCGTGCAGCCCCGAAGGCAGGGGAAGAGAGGACGGTTGGAAGGAAGGGTCAGGGGGCAGGCGGGTTGCTGAAGCGTGCGTCCTGCATGAATCGCGAGGAAGTGTCGAGCGATAGCGCGATGTCCAAACAATCCGTGAGGAAGTAGACAGCGAGAGCGTGGTTCCTGAGTGTCGCGGGCGCAGCGTCTGAATAGATTTCGAGGAAGACCCACGCGAGAGCGCGATTCTTGCATAAGTTGTGATGAGTCCCCGCGCGAGAGTGCGATTTGGGAGTATATTATGAGGAATCATATGGTTGGAGCTGTGGTTGTTGTAAGCTGGGGGCCAAGGGCCCGGTTTGGTGGCCCCGCTCTTGTTTTTATGAAAAAGGAGCGAGCCCTGGGCGAAGCATTTGAATTGAAACATGTGTTGGTTACCGGGCAGGGGGCATCAACAATCATCTAAAAGAAATATAGCTCAACAACAAGAAAAACGACATCAACAGGCATTATGAGATTGTTCGTTCTTATCTGCTCGCATGACACTCAACACGTACATCCCAAGTTCTCGATACCCGTTTTCTTCGTCTTCGATCGTACGCCCTTGGGGGTCGATCTTTCTTACCTGCCACGTGTATTCCGTACAGCCCCGAAGGCAGGGGAAGAGAGGACGGTTGGAAGGAAGGGTCAGGGGGCAGGCGGGTTGCTGAAGCGTGCGTCCTGCATGAATCGCGAGGAAGTGTCGAGCGATAGCGCGATGTCCAAACAATCCGTGAGGAAGTAGACAGCGAGAGCGTGATTCCTGAGTGTCGCGGGCGCAGCGTCTCAATAGATTTCGAGGAAGACCCACGCGAGAGCGCGATTCCTGCATCAGTTGTGAGGAGGCCCCGCGCGAGAGTGCGATTTGGGAGTATACTGTGAGGAAGCAGATGGCTGGAGCTGTGGTTGTTGTAAGCTGGGGGCCAAGGGCCCGGTTTGGTGGCCCCGCTCTTGTTTTTATGAAAAAGGAGCGAGCCTTGGGCGAAGCATTTGAATTGAAAAATGTGTTGGTTACCGGGCAGGGTGCATCAACAATCATCTAAAAGAAATATAGCTCAACAACAAGAAAAGCAACATCAACAGGCATTCTGAGATTGTTCGCTCTTATCTGCTCGCATGACACTCAACACGTACATCCCAAACTCTCGATACCCGTTTTCTTCGTCTTCGATCGTACGCCCTTGGGGGTCGATCTTTCTTACCTGCCACGTGTATTCCGTACAGCCCCGAAGGCAGGGGAAGAGAGGATGGTTGGAAGGAAAGAACCAGGAGTAGGCGGATTGCTGACGCGAGCGTCTTGCATGAATCGCGAGGAAGTGTCGAGCGATAGCGCGATGTCCAAATAAATCGTGAGGAGGTAGACAGCGAGAGCGTGATTCCTGAGTGTCGAGGGCGCGGCGTATGAACAGATTTCGATGAAGTTCCACGCGAGAGCGCGATTCCTGTACGCATTGCGAGGATGCCCCGTGGCGATAATGCGATGTTTAAATAAATTGTGAGGAAGACTCAGACGGGAGCCGTTGTTGTTGCTGTTGTCGTAAGCCGGGGCCCAACAACGCAATTTGGTGACCCCTCATTATCCCTTTTAAAGAGCAGGGTGCGAACCCCAGACGAAGCATTTAAATTTGAAAAATACAATGTTCACCAAAGGGGGAGCACCGATAATGATTTTTGAGAACGAGAACTCAATCACACAAACGACAACAACAACAACAATAGAGATACCAACAACGTGCAACAGTAACAACAACAACAACAGCAACAGCAACAGCAACAGCAACAGCAACAACAACAACAGCAACAGCAACAGCAACAACAGCAACAACAACAGCAGCAGCAACAGCAACAACAACCATAGCAGCAGGAGCAACAACAGCAGCAGCAGAAAACGTCAGCCAGCGCGTCGGCCCAAGGCACCTCTCTCGCCGCGCGCGCGCCTCGCCCGAGCCGACGAGGACCACTCCGCGCACTCCGGCGCGGGCACTCCGCGCGCGGCTCCCCCGCGCAGGCCCGCGTGCAGCGACGCCCCGCGGCGGGGTGGGCCACGCCAGCGGCCCGCGCGGCACACCGCGGGAGGGTCGCCGCGTGCTCCGCGCGGCGGTCGGGGAGGCGCAGGGCTCGAGCTTGCAGGAGGTCGGGCCTGTCCCCCTACAGGGGGGGGAGCTTCGACGAAGAATAGAGAAGCACCCCAAGAATAGTCCAAAAATAGTCTGGGGACTAGTTTGGGGACTATTTTTTGACCCTGCTGGGGTATTTTCTGTTTTTTTTAGTTTTTTGTCGAAAATCCCCCTGTAGGGGGACACGCCCGACTTAACGCTTGCAGGAGGCCGGGCTTGCCGCTAGCCTGGGGCGTCGTTGCGTCATGGGGGGGGGGGGGGGGCATCCTCGGCGGCGAGCCTCGGGGGGAAGCGGAAGGGGGCGGGTCCTCCAGGAACAGGCCAGCCACAACTGGGGGAGCTGTGGTCCTTACCCCCCTGGGGGACTCATCGATTTCGACACCCCTCTCGAGAGATCGTCGATGCGATGGGTTCCCCCAGGGGGGTAAGGACCACAGCTCCCCCAGTTGTGGCTGGTCGGAGGAAGCGGCGGGGCTGCTGGCAAGCCCTCCGGCGGCACTCTGGGCAGCCGTCCGCTGTCTTCGGGGAGGGCTTCGGGAAAATGAGTCAGGCGGCCGGGGGCCTTCCGAGCCGTCTGCGAAGGCCCGCCCCCTCTCTGCCTGCCCCCCTGATCTCGCCGCCGAGCAGGAGCCCAAAGGGGCCCTCTGGGGCACAAGAGGTGCACGTTGTTCCCCCCCGTTTCTCGGGCCGGGCGACAGGGGGGGATTGGGAAAGGAGGGGCCACGAAATCTGCTGCATACAGCTTGTTTCGGCCTCACCGAGGGGCCCATTCCTCGATACATAGCCGCCTCCGGCGCCGGGAAAATCAGCTACGTGAGCTGATTCTCAAACCCCCCCTTTGCTATCCCTCCCTTTCGCCCGACCCGAATGAATCAAGCAACGCCCAACGATTTTTGACGGTCCCTGTAGGAGTTTTGACGGTCCAGTTTCCGTGAGGGGTTTGCAGCACGCGTTCGCGACGAATGTCAGGTTCAGTCTTGTCATGTTTTTTTGGCCATTTCGTCAGGCGAGTTCGAGTCCCCCAGGCTCGATTTAGACGTCTCCCCGAGTGAGGCCCCGTTCTCTTCGTCGCCCGCTCGGAATGAGCGTCTCCAGCTGCGCTGCCGCGCATCAGCCCGCCACCCAGCGCGCAGAGGGAGAGCGGGGGAGGGGATTCGCGGGGGGGGGGGGGGCGAAGCGGCTGGGACACGTTCGCCAGCAGGGCGCTCACGCGGTGGTCGAGCGTGTCGCGTGCTGAAGGCAGCTCGCCAGGGCCTCGTTCGAGATGCCGCCGCCTTCGGGCAGATGGGTCAGCGGAGCGTTGAGCATCGGTGTGGTTCGGGGGGCTCGGCCCGGAAGCACCTTCACGGTCACCAGCAGCACCGCCCGCCATGAAAGAACGAATAGGGTTTTGAGAAGAACAGGTCCTTCAGTCAAGACGCTGAGATAATGGCCATCTTATGTTGGGGATCTAGGCCTCCTAGATGGGTTCGGAGTAGATGGGGTTGGAGGAGCGCGCCACATCGCCGATGCATCGGCGATGCGGCTCGATGTGGAGCTCGATTTGCTCCACGTCGACGTCGCCGATGCATCGCCCACGTCGACGATGCATCGCCGGTACGTCGCCGATGCATCGCCGATGTTTCGGCGATGCTGCCCGATCCTCCGACACCATCTACTCCGGCCCCATCTAGGAGGTCTATAGAGGAGGGGCTCCTGTGTCCGGGCCGCGCCTTAGATCTACGTCGGGGAATTTGTTGGTGGCCAAGGCCTGCCGTGGACAGAAACAGCACTTTTTCCCTGCTTTTTCTGACGCTCGACTATATGTTTGAGCATTGTTTGACCATTTGCTGCGCGTTTCCTCCAAAATCCGCCTACAGGACGACACGCCCGACCTGATGGTAGCTTGATGGCTGTAGGCCCCGTGGCCTTCCTCAGGGCCAACTCTTCGATCTGAGCCGTCTTTTGACAGATCCGAGGCCCCCAGGGGGCCAGAAAATTGCAGCAGCATTGTTGTCTTCGATGCCGGGCACCTTTCCTCGTGGACTTGTCCCGGGGTGCCCTCTGACCCCCATGACCCACCCTGGGGTGCGCTCTGACCACAGTGTCGAGGCGGATCCAGCCGTGGCCACGAGAGTGCCTCAGGAGGGCAAAAAATGTCAAATCCGATTCCTCTAAGCCTCAGCCTCACAACACGCTTCCTCCAACAGCATCAAGACTTCATATCAAAGAAAGCAACCTACATCCCAATTCTTTGTACCCTGACACGTCGATTGAGGAATTGGCCGTTTTCGGTTCGCGAGAGGGCGTCGCGGCCGTCATTTCTGCGGGTCCAGGTCCGTCGTTTTCGGTCCCAGGCCGGTTTCACTAAGGGGAGGTTTACTAAAGGGAGGTTTGTCCACCGCCGAATGTTTAATTCAGCATCGGCGCTGGTACTTCCGTGCTTTGAAACAGGCAAAATGCTGCATAACCCGTTTAATCGGCCCTACTCCGCGTTTGAGTACCGGATTATATCTGGGCTAAGTAGGCTTAGTGGCCCTCAATCGGGCTTAATAGCCATTGCGCAGGCCTTCCCGCTGGTGCCGCCGACCCTGAGAACGACGAAGATGAAAACGAGGGGGGGCAGGGGGAGGAGGATGAGAGGGAGGTGGAGGAAGGGTGGAGGAGGTGGATGAGGGAGGAGGAGGGGAGAGAAGGATGTGGAGGAGAAGCAAAAGGAGGAGAAGGAGGCAGAGGAGAGCAGGAGGAGGAGGAGGAGGAGGAGGAGGAGGAGGAGGAGGAGGAGGAGGATTTTTTCGGTGGCCTCCGCAGGAGCAGTGCCACGGAGAACGCCCTGCAGCGTGGCTGTGCCGCTCCTGGGGTCACACCACCAAGCCCAGAGACACAACCACGCGACCACCGAGAGACACCCACCACCAAGGGTTGGAGGGCGGGAAAAGAACACCACCCCTTGCCCGCACCAACGGGCACAGCGGCCTGACGAGCACACAGGCCGACCACGACGCCCGCCTGCAGCCAGGCAAAGAGCGCCCACGCTGACGCTCCTCTGCAGCGAGGCAGAGAGCGCCCACGACTGTTAGCCTGGGCAACAAGGCCCCAAGACGCCAGGACAGACAGACGCACAGAAGGACCGACGACGACGACAGCAGCAGCAACAGCAGAAGCAGCAGCAGCCGCATTAGCAGCGCATCCACGGCCCCCCCTGGGAGGCAAACGAGTTATGAATACGCAGGAGGCGAGCTCCGGCCCCTCGTCAATTCCCCCACCCATAAAATTGCACACAAGTTAAGGGTTGAGAAGAGAAGGAGGCCAGAGGCTTTCTTGGGACAGCCCGGGGCTCTCTTGAGGCCGTTTTGGGCCGTGTAGGGCTCCCCTTGCGCCGTCTCCAGGCATTATTGGAGGCCTCCTGGGCAATTTTGGGCTCTCCTGGGCTGTCTGGGGGCCGTTTGGGGGCACCTTGGGAGCGTCTTGGGGCCTCCTGGGGTTTCGTCGGGGCCTCTTGGGGGCCTCGTGGGGTTGAGAGCTCGAATGTCCGTTCGGGCCCCCTGTCTGGGCACTCTCCTGGAGCCGTCTTGGAGGCGTCTTGGGCCGTCTTGGGGCCCTCTTCGGCTGTTTAGGGACCCTTTGGGGGGCCTCTTGGGCCGTTTTGGTGCGATCTCGGGGGCCTCTTGGGCCGTCTTGGCGCGTCGGGAAGCGGAAAAAGCTCCATGAACGTTGCCTTTTGGGGCTCTCTTGGGAAAGTTCCTGGAGGCCTCTTGGGGCGCTTTGCAGGCCTCCGGGGCCGTCTGGAGGCCGTCAAGGCGTCTTGGACAGATCGTTAGGCGATTCGGGGTTCTCTTGGACTGTCCGTGGGGCCTCTCGGAGCACTCTTGGCCCATCTCGGGGCTTTTTGAGGCTCTAAGTAGGCTTAGTGGCCCTTCGATCGGGTTTCATAGTCATTAGTCGTCCTTACGAACATATCCTGGGAGGTGTTCCCTCCCCCTTCTGATCTTCCTGCCCGTCTACAGTCCTGCAGCATGCTCTAATCTCTCCTCACCACTTTCTTTTTCTCCATCCCCCGCCTCGTGCTCCTCCTCCTCCTGCTCCTCCTCCCTCTTCCTTTGCTCGAACTGTAGGTCAAGCTCTCCGCCCCCGCCCTGGGCATCTGGGCTGACGAGGGCGGGGGCGCGGAGTACATGGGCGGTCCGGAGCGGATCCAGAACGAGGACCCAGAAAGACGACGACGACGACGACGACGACGACGACAACGACGACAAAGACGACAAAGACGGCGAGCGAGGACACACAGCGGCGCGTGCGCTTCCGGCGCCGCTCGCCGAAGGGCTTCGTCATCGGCGGGCGCGTCTTCTACCAGTTGACGCGCGACAACCGCGGCGACGTCATCGCGAACCGGGCGGGGCCTTGCTGGCGGGAGAACGAGCGCGAGGAAAAAGGGAAAGGGAAGGGCAAGTGAGCGCGCGTTCGGTTCGGTAGAGAGCGGTCGCAGCGGCGGCGGGCATGTTTTTTTCGCGCCCGTGAAAGAGCGAGGAGGACGGCGGAGGAGGGCGAGGAGGGCGACGGGATACAAGCACGAGGAGACGATGCAGTTTCGTTGATTTCTGACCGTCTAGACACGTTCGCGCGCGGCGGGGTCTCCGCGCGCCCTCGCTGACAGCAGGTCGATAAGGCCGCGGCGAGCGCGAGTCGCCTTGGCGCCGCGCTTTTTTGTCCCACGCGGCGCCGGGGAGCTCACGATTTGTTTTGGGGAGAGGAAGTTCACATGAAATTGTCATGGTGCGCTTGCATTTTCCTGTCAACGGGGCGCTTCAGGGGCGAAACGTAGAGGTTGCAACACGTCGCGATCGGTTTCGACAGCGCCCCGACGTCCGATTGCAGGGGCCCCGTTAGGTCTCCGGGGGCGGGCGCAGCGCCCCGAATCGCAACTGCATTGAAGTTGCCGCGTTCGTCACCGCCGCTCGATTCGCTTTGAAGTTTTTACGCGGAGACGCACCCCAGGACAGCCGTCATAATCGTCGCCGTCGGCGTGGTTCCGGGGAACGCTCGAGGTCGTCGTCCTCGTCCTCGTCGTCGTCGTCGTCGTGGCTCACGGGAGCGCTCGAAGGAGCCATCGCCGTCGTCGTCGCGGTCGTCGTCCCGTGGCTCCTTGGGAGTATTCCGCGGACGGGCGTCGTCGTCGCCGTCGGCGTGGTTCTGGGAGCGCCCGAGGGAGCGGACGTCGTCGTCGTCGTCGTCGTCGTCGTCGCGGCGCACGGGAGCGCTCGAGGGGACCATCGTCTCGCGCGGCCCCCCGGGAGCGTTCGAGGGAGCCGTCGTCGTCGTCGGCGCGGTCCCCTGGGAGCGCTCGAGGGATCGGGATGCGTCGTTGTCGTCGTCGTCGTCGTGGCTCGAGAGCGCTGGAGGTAACCATCGTCGCGGGCGTCGTCGCAGGGCTGGCTCCCTGGGAGCGCTCCACGGGGACGTCGCCGTCGTAGCCGTTTGCGCGGTTCCCTGGGAGCGTGCCAGGGGGCGGGCGTCGTCGTCGTCGTCGTCGTCGTCGTCGACGTCGTCGGGAGCGCTCGAGGGGGCCATCGTCGTCGCAGTTGGCGCGGTCGTCGTCGCGTGGCGCTGCGGGAGCACTCGAGGGAGCTGTCGTCGTCGTCGTCGTGACTTCTGACAACGCTCGAGGGAGCTATTGTCGCTAATGGCACTTTAGTCGGGCTTAAATCGTTGTTTAATCGGTCTGGCGACGAGATCCCACGAGTTGCCTCCTAAGATGACCGCCCGCTCGCAAGGGCCAGCGTGACGGCGCGGGAGGTTCCCATGGGTTTCACGAGGGGAAATATAAGCACAGACGTTTATACAAACGTATGTATACGTATATATATATATATATATATATATATATATACATACATACATACATACATACATACATACATACATACATACATACATACATACATACACATACATATATACATATATGCAGATTTACACATTGTGAGGGCCTTACGGCCGGCGCCGCCGACCCTGAACGGGCACGACGAAGACGGCGACGACGACAACGACGACGCTCGCGGGCCGTCGTGGGGGCCCTGGTGGGCCCTGTTGGCCTCGGGACGCCGCTCGGG